TCTGTGATACGTTTGAGTAAGATATTTCTGGCACCGTTCATGTCTCTATCTATTTCTAAACTACAAGGATCACATCTAAAAATCTTGGATCCACCAAGTTTTTATTGATCGATCCGCAGTTACCGCATGTTTTAGATGTGTATTCTTCGGTACATTCGATAACTTTACAATTCACAAATTCCCTAGCTTTGTGGTGTAAAAACATCCTAAATCTATAATGTGACCATGTCAGCATCATCCTCGCAGTCTTCGACCTGATCTTTCTCTTGTTTTTAAGAACCATGTTCAAGGTTTCAAATATTGGTATTAATATGATCTTATAATTCTCACATAACCAACGAGCAAGTTAATGATGACATTCGTTGATCAAGTTTCTAATTCTGACAATGATCCTATACATCTTTATCTTCAATTTGTATCTTTTATGTTTATTTTTTTGTCTGATTGCCAGATCCTTGTCATTTTGTAATTTATCATATTTCTTTGATAATCTAAATATCTTGTTGAGATCACTGTTACCCCACTCTATGACTCAACTGTTAGGATCATAACTAGTCATAAAGGTACGTACACCTGGATCAAGCGATATCACTTTTCCTTTGATACCATCTTGATTATCACTGACATCTAAAGAAATGGATATATACATGTAAAAATATTCTAATCTGTTCATGGTTATGTTCACAGTATAATTTATTTCTGGTAGTCTTTCTGACATAGTCACGGTCTTAAGAAATGTATATTCTCTTCTGTTTCTGTTCCAATTTCTCGCCAGTATTGAGATAGTTTGCGAACAATCTTTTTTTTGGTTTGTATTTTATTCTAAAATTATTATCATGTAATTTCTTGCTTGTCTTAAATATGCTTATCAACTTAGGGTGTCATATATTATAATTAATCAAAACTATGTAAGATCAATCAATAAATATATAATAATAAATTTTTTAAAAGTTGTAGATCAGTCGGAGTGTTGATTCATAGCAAAGAACAAATTTACATATGAATTGAAAAGAATTTCACGTAAAATGATTTAATAATTTTTCTTGCATTTTAATGTAAAAATTTTTTCTATAATTTTGTTTGTATTGTTACAATTATTATAAATAAAAAATTTGAGCGAAAACTGTTAAACCAGTGAATCTTAACATCTAATTTTATAGTGATCTAATTTTACATAATATATATATATTAACTTATAATATACTATGTATATAGGATGGGCATCATATGATCTTAGACCAATTGAATTGCTGAATTTGTAGACTAGCAAGAATTGAGCATCAAAAAATCTGCACTTAGCAGATTTACAAATTTGTTAACATAGTTTTGATTTAATTATGATATAAGACACCCTATCATCAACTGCCTAATTACGTATGACCTTATTTCCCTTGGTGTTTCCTTCACCCATGACAATTCTTTGTTTGTAAAATATTTATTATTCAAGTAATATTTCTTTATAATGTTCATATTACTTATCTTATCATCTTGTAACATTTCAAGAACTTTGTTGTAGGTCCACCTTATAGTTCCTATCTATTTTCTCTTTCTTCTAATGTTGGGTACATTCATATCTTTCGAGTTTTTAGTTTCTCTTCATCGTTTCCTGTTCTGAGCTGATCTGAGTCCATTGTGTCTTACCATGAAGATAGTAATGATGGATAATAGATCCTCAGCAAGCTCTCCAGATTCTGTATCATCAACATTAATATCTGAACTGAGTACCAAGATCTTTGTATCGTTCTTACCAAAAATCTATTCGACAAGTTCGTAAGTGAACCAACAGAGTTGATTCTTCCTAGCAACTACAACTTCATCGATATCTTCTTGAAACGATCATTCCAGAATGGATGTAAAAACTTTATATTTCCAATTGAGACCTGATCCAATATCCTTGATGAGTTCGTGATCTGGATATTTCTCCATGAGGTGTTCACATTATCTGTTAAGATCTTCTTTCTGTTTATCTAAGTTAACTTTTGTATAACAGATCTTTTTCTTTTCATTTGCTTTTTCTTAAAATATTTTTTTCAAGTCTGTTACTGAATATGGCTTTTTTACACCAGACATTTTAATGCTTGATATTTTTCCTAATTG